TATAATTAGTATTCTATAATTATTCTCTTGAATGATTGTTTATTCTTTATAACTATTCTTTATATATAGTTGGTGAGACTTTTGTCATTATGGGTACTATGCAGCTTTTCATATTATTTGTAATTTAGTTTTATTTTATGTACATTTGATTATTTTATGTCCTTTTTTAATGGACCCCAGGAAGAGTAGCTGCTTCCAGGTGTAACAGCTAATGGGGACATGACGACGACGTACTATACTATGATGTTTTTTATAATATTTTGGACAACATACTATACTATGACGTTTTTTTATGATTTTTGACAACATACTATACTATGACGTTTTTTTATGATTTTTGACAACATACTATACTATGACGTTTTTTTTATGATTTTTGACAACATACTATACTATGATGTTTTTGCATGATTTTTGCCGACGTACTATACTATGATGTTTTTTCATCATTCATGCAGTGATGTTACGCTCGAGCCAGTTTGCTCGACACACTGTTGATCTTTTGAAGCAGAAGTGATCTGAGACAGTTTCGATTCCTGCTTCGGCACGCTCACAATCATGTGACTACCGAGAGAGTATAAAGCCTGGTTGGCTGGTGTGTGTGAGGGGTGAGGCTCTGTAGCTAACCTTCTAAAATCAAACAACACTGTAATAAACAGCTTTTATTTATTTATTTATTTATTTATTTATTACATCCCCATTAGCTGCTGGAACTTAACAGCAGCTACTCTTCCTGGGGTCTCACCAAGTTTATCAACCAAAAATGCAGTGAACATAAAATACATTTACATTCATACTCACAAACAAACACGACACAAGACACCTGCTCAAAACCTAATCCAAATAATACTGTAGCTCTACATGCTGACAATTCATTTCAAATTCATTCTTAAGGATCATTTGACATTGCATTTTCTGAGTTACCATAATAATAAAAAGGAAGCAAATAGCTCAGTTTTACACCTTCCAACCTGATATATAAAGTCCAACATATAAACAGTAAAAATATTCTGTCATACCTGCTGGGTAAATAAAAAATAGTTTAAGCTTTTTTGTTAAAACTCATAACATTACTTTCTGAGACCAGAAAAAATGGTAATTCATTCCATGCCACCATTGCTCTGTAATGCATTGTTTTCTGTTTTAAATTAGTTCTACATAGGGGTAACAAAAACCGACCCTCAGACGACTGTCGAGTAAAATGATAGTGTGTATCGGAAAAAAAAGCTAAAGTCCTGTACAATATTTCTGGTGTTTTTTGTTGTTATTATGTTTTTGTTAAGACATATTAGTGAATATTGTGCCCTGCATTTTACACTTAACCAAGCTAAACGATCATTCATTGTACTTACATTTGTTTGGACATTGAAGGACTAAATGAGCTGCTTTATTTTGGGCTACCTGTAACCTATTCAACTTACTTCCTGATGTACTAGACCAAATTACAGAACAATAGTCTAAGTGTAACAACACCAGTGCCTGCACCAGTTGCTTCAATAAACGAATGAAAAGACTAGGCCTGCTCCTTTTCTCATGCACAACCCTCTCTTTTTTTTTATACTTTTTATTTATTCATTTTCTTTCTGATTGATGCTTTCAACCAGATACATCTTTACATAATCAACATAAAACAAAATAAGCAGAATGTTCTAAAAAAAAAAAAGGTATAAAGGAAAAAAAAATTGCCCGTGCAGAAAATCCTTTTTTCTTTTCCTACTCCTCTCTCCCTCTTCTCTCATCCTCCCATCCCTATCTTACCATCTCCCCTTCTCCTCTCTCTGTCCCCTTTTCCTCCCTCCTTTCCTCTCTACCTTCCCCCATTCTTTTTCTTCTCTTCTCCCTTTCCTTCTTCTTTCTTCTCTCCCTTCCTAAGAGGAAAATAAAAGGTATGATAAATGCACATGCATATCCATCACTACTTCTCGTCCCATCCATAAATAAATCACCCTTCGTCCAAGTATACAGGGCCCCTTTTTTTCTCCTTTCCTATCCTTTTCCTTTCCCCCCTTTTCTTCTTCTCTTTCCTTCTTTTCCCCCCTTTCTTTTTGGTTTCTCATATTATATCAGTCTTTGTGATCTTTTCCCACCTAGACTCAAACATTTCACCTAAATTCCTTCTCTTATGAGTTATTCTTTCTATGATGTAAATACTATTGATTGTTTCCTTCCAGCTCACTATTTGGGGTGCCACTGGATTCAGCCAGTTTTTGATCTGTTTGATCGCTGTTATCCTTAATATTCTATAGAGGTATCTATCTGTTGGACTAGTCAATGTCTGGGAGGGGTTTCCCTAAAAGTATATTTTTGGGAATTAAAAGCAGTTTACGTTGAAATATTTTATCCATTTCCTCCATTACCTTGAACCAAAACTGTTTTCATGTTGGGCATGAATGTAGCATGTGTGAGGTTAGCTTGGTTTTCTCCACAGTTGCGCCAGTCGTGCACTGTTATCATTATTGTATTTAGATTGAATGATAGGCGTTTTAAAATATCTTAATTGAACTTTCCATGAGAACTCCCTCCAAAAAGAGGAATATGTTGTTTCCCAAGTATTTGTGCACATGTCCGTCCATTCTTCTTCTGTTATATTTATATGTAGTTCTTTTTCCCAGTTGGCCAAAGCATTTAGTCTCTCTCCTTTCTCCCCATCTTGGATGATCTTATATATTTGTCCCAGAATATTCTTATCTTTAGCTTCTTACCTGTAGATATTTTTAGAATTGTAAGTTTGGAAGGTAAATTTTTTTTGATGGATTCTCAAATGTGTCTTTCCCCTTATTTGTAATAAACTGGCTAAATCTAATTAAGCCTTTCTCAGCCCATTTTTTAAATGATTTGTCCATTTTATTTGGTTCAAAATCTCTATCTGTCGCAATTTCTCTTAGCCACTCTACATCTGTTTGGATTTGGTTTTTTTGTGTTACCTGTAGCCACGTACTTAAAAGTATTTCTTATACATGCATTATCTATTTTTTCAAGAGTTTGGTAGTATACTCTAGAAGATATTAGGTCATTCAGTGGTCTCTCCATTTGTGAAACTTCAATTTTTCTCCATTTGGCAATATGGTTATTATTCATCCAAGCTAAGACTGCTTTTATTTGAGCGGCTTTATAATAGTTTGTTAAATTTGGCAATGCTAATCCTCCAGATAGCTTACTTTTTCTAATTGTCTTAAGTTTAATGTGTGCTTTTCTTCCTCCCCAGATAAACATACTTAATAATCTATCCCACCTCTTGAACTTATTATGAGGGATGAATATTGGTAAATTCTGAAATAGAAAAACAAATTCTGGCAGAACATTCATTTTAATTGTTTCAATCCTTCCCGTTATGGATAATGGTATTATTAGGGGAGGAGGGTGGCTGGTTGATTTTTATTTTATTTATTTATTTTATTTTGATCCCCCCTATGTTAATCACTCATTGATGCTGTTTTTGAAGTATGAATAAGTCAATAAGTAATTTATTCCATTGAAATATCATTGATGTATTATAGAAAAGTGATTTATCTTTTTATAAATGACAAAAGGCACATCTGCCTCATTTTCGCTGTGGTATCGTGATAATACTCAGAACCATGATACTTTGACTGGTATCGTACTGTGGGTCCCAATTTTGGTACCGTGACAACACTACTCAGGACAGAGACGGGAGAGCTGCAGGAGGACATTTTCAAATTCTGCCAAATTGTAAACAATGTGTTAACACATGGCAACACTGGGGAAAATCACACCCAAGTCCACCTGTGCTAAAAAGCTATGCCACATGTGATGCTTTAAAAGCACTTAAGATTTGGGAGTGAGTTGGTCATATTGATGGTTTTGGATTGTCTTAGAAAAACATAGCATTAATGAGTATAAAATTTGAAAATGGGTGTAGATCCCCTGTAGGTGGATGTTAAAGTTTAAACTAAAAGTGTTTCATAAATATACATTTGGCAAAACCATCGATTTTACACGATTACTTTAATTACATTGCACTCACTGTGAAATTAACACTTTCCTTGATTCAAGAGATTATGATTGTTTAAAAGCTACTTACAGAAATATAAGTGATACAGTCATATGAAAGGAGAAAACATGTAATGCAAGAATATAGTTTGTCACCAGGGACTCTTTCCATGTGAACCAACAAGACACTATTCATCTTAATATCTCTTCGATGTTTTCCAACTTTACCCGTGTTGCAGTGATACAGCTTTTCACCTGTGGGTTCTTTTTATGTGGACTGTCAAGTTACTGCTGATTCTGAAATCTTTCCCACATATTTCACAGGTATACGGCCTCTCACCTGTGTGGGTTCTCATGTGCACTTTCAAGTTACCATTACATCTGAAAGCTCTCCCACATACTTTACAAGTAAATGACCTTTCACCTGTGTGAGATTCTCATGTGCCTCTTCAGTACTGACAGCTCACAGAATCTGTTCCCACAGGTCTTACAAAGGTACGGCTTCTCACCTGTGTGGTTTCTCATGTGGGCTAACAAGTAACTACTATAGCGGAAATCTTTCCCACATGTTTTGCAAGAATATGGCTTATCACCTGTGTGGATTCTCAGGTGGATATTATATAACTGAGACTTGTACTTGAAAGCTTTCCCACAAGTGTCACACTTGAAAGACTTTTCACCTGTGCAAGTTTTGCCGTGAATATTTGACATGGTAGAGTTATACACATTATTGGTGAGACTGATCTCGAATCTCCATGATGTCCTCCTTTCTGATTTTGGCTCTCAGCTACATGAGAGTTGTGACAGAGCAGCTGGTGCTCACCGGTTGCTTCTGATATCACAGAGCTTATAACTGGCATTTTAAATACAGACTCTTTCTCTGCTGCACTTTGAGTGTCATCATGAATGAAGTCCAGAGTCTGATCTTCACTCTGCTCACTTTCCTCATCAGCAGGAGTCAACATGAAGCCATCAGTCTCCTGCTTCACTACAAGCTGCTCTCCCTCCTGACTGCTGCACACTTCCTCCTCTTCCTCTTTAATCTGTGGAGGCTCTGGCTCCTCTTGGTCCACACTGGACTTCCTCTCCTCAATACAGAGCTGCTGCTCAGGGACAACCTCCTCCTCCTTACACACATGTTGCTGTGGGAGCTCTGGAGGGACACACAACAACACCAACAGCATACTAATGTCATGCTACAGCAAATATACACACACCACAGTAAATATGTCCTAATTCAACTTTACACACCTGTCCTGTGTAACTTTATTTCAGGCTTCAAAACGATATCCAACAGTCTGCGCTGACGATCGATCTCTTCCTCGTACTCGACGATGCTTCTTTTAAAAACTCCCAATATTTCTTCAGCAGCAGCAGTTAGTCGCTCGTTGACAAACTCTCTCAGAGACTCAACTGAACACATTGTTGTCTAATTACATCTAACTATTTATTGTCGAAAACTACACCATCATCCCGCCGCTAAATGCACACATCCGTGGAGCTAACGCAGCTAGCGCTTGTTTTGTTTACTTCCGCTGGATGTGTCACACTGTTAAAGTTCCGACAGTGAAAGTGAGTAATTTGTTTCCTTCCGCTCATCAACGGGTTCTTACTTCTTCTTCTTCTCTCGGTTTATTGGCGGATCGCAAATAACTTTAAAATGCATACCTCCACCTAGAGTTTATACAAAAGTGTGCAACATCATATGAATGCACCTTATATCTTTAATCCTTCTCATTAACCCTGTGGCATTTCAGAACGTAAAAAGCGCCTTCCTGGTCCTACCTCCTCTACCTCTCCCTCTGTTCCCAGTAACCACATCAAGTTCCATCCCCACCTTGCCACTGGGACTTCATCAATCAGTCTTTCCCTTTCCTCCTCATACATAGTGCAATGCAGTAAGATATATTTCCCATTTTCTTTAACTCCACAGTTCCCACGGTTTCTCTTTTTTTGACAGATTTTTATGTTTTGTTAATGTAAAACATTGTCTCCTTTATGGCTTTGTTAAATCTCAGCTAATGTAGATTTTTGCATTATGCATATTGTCCATATGTGTCTTTATTACTTATATATATGTGTATATGCATATGTATTTTTCTTAATTCATTTATTTATTCTTATTTTATTTTATTTATTTATTTTAATTTATTTTCTTTTTCTGTTCCTGGTTTATCTGTTTTTGCTTTTTTACACCCATGTTTTGAATATCTCTCTTTCATAATATTTTTATATATTTTTTGTTATATCAGATGTACACAATGCTTGTAATTATCATCTGGTTTGTCATTGCTTCAAAATGAAACAATAAAAAAAGTATGATAAAAAAAAATCTTTCTGCTGTCAGTGTGGTTGTACAGCTCTCTTACTCTCTCCATGCTTTCAAAATGTTAGTAAATGTACAAAAAATAGCGATAACCACATCGTATTTATTAACCTCAATATGATTTTTTAAATCTTGCCAATGTAACGTCTGCCTCTCCTCCCCCGCTGTTTAGTAATCCCTTCGACCTTGTCAGCTACTATAATGGCATACACATCTCCTGTCTTGACCAAATAGCTCCTCTCAAAACCAAAACAGTTGCATTCACACACTCAGCCCCCTGGTATACTCCCAAACTCAGCCTCAGCCTCTGACTCAGTTCTCCCCCATCTCCCCAGTGGAGCTGTCCAAGTTGATGGCTGGAATGTAAACTCCACCTGTGCTCTCAATCCCATTGCAAATAAATACAATACAATTTTTTTTTACTGGAACTTGCTGTTGCCTCTCAACTCAAAGCCCACCTCTCCTCCGACGACCTGTTTGTTTCAATCCAGCTTCACAGCGTAACACAGAAACCACCCTCCTCAAAAGTCATTAACGGTCACCTTCACACCTCAGACTCTGGTCACCACTCCATCCTTATCCTTCTTGACCTGACAGCAACCTTTGACACCATCAATCTCGCAATTCTCCTCTCCCTCTCCCGCCTCCAGTCCTCCCTCAGCATCACTGGTACTGCCCTCTCCTGGTCATACCTCACAAATCGACATTCATTCATCTTCTAACTGCTTCATCCTCTTGAGGGTTGCGGGGGGGCTGGAGTCTATCCCAGCTGATATCGGGCGAGAGGCAGGATACACCCTGGACAGGTCACCAGACTATCACAGGGCTGACACATAGAGACAGACAACCATTCACGCTCACATTCACACTCACATTCACACCTACGGACAAGAGAGTTATCAATTAACCTAGTCCCCAATCTGCAAGTCTTTGGACTGTGGGAGGAAGCCGGTGTGCCCGGAGAGAACCCACGCTGACATGGGGAGAACATGTAAACTCCACACAAAAGGGCTCCCACACCCGGGATCAAACCGGAAACCCTCTTGCTGTGAGGCGACAGTGCTAACCACCACACCACCGTGCTATCCACAAATTGACATCTCTTTATCAATATTAACAACTGCACTTCCTCCCTTGCTCCTCTGTTCCAAGGCGTCCCTCCGGGTTAGGTGCTTGGGCCTCTCCTATTCATCCTCTACATGCTCCCCCTTGGTAACACCATTCACAGCCATGGCCTCAACTTCCATTGCTACGCCGATGACAGCCATCACCACTGGAACTCACTCCACTCTGACCACCTGCCTCAATGACATAAAGTCCTGGATGCAAGCCAGCTGCCTTAAACTGTAAAAAATCTTACATGATGATCATCTGTCCAAAACCCCTCTTCAAAACCACTCACAACTTCTGCCCCACCTCTGGTAACTCCACTCTGTATTCAGCCCCATGCATCCGCAACTTCAGAGTTATTTTTGACAACAACCTCTCCTTCGAAAAACATGTCGATCAAATCACCAGCACTGTCTTCTTCCACCTAAAAAACATAGCTTATCTCAGCCCATCGCTCCCCCTCTGCTGCTTAAACTCCAATCCATGCCATCATCACATCCAGAATGGACAACTGTTAACATTGTTCTTCATGGTGCACCATCCAAAGTCCTAAGTAAACTCTAATACATCCAGAACTCTGCTGCCCGTCTGCTCACCCATTCCCGCTCCCGCAATCACATCACCCCTGTCCCCCCGAACCTCCACTGGCTCCCTGTCCCACAACAGACCCAATTCAAAGTCCTTCTCCTCACTCATAAAGCCCTCCATATCCAGGCCCCTTCCTACCTCACTGACCTGCTCCACCGCCATACTCTTTCCCGCAGCCTCCGCTCCTCTGATACCAACCTCCTGACTCCATCAGTCAGGATCAAGCACTGGACCTGGGGCGACAGAGCCCCCATAGCTGCCCCCTCCAGAGGGAGGGGGCAGCTATGGGGGCAGCATTTACCTGTCCCAGTTCAAGTCAGTCATCAGATCTCATCTTTTTGACTTGGTTTTTAATGTGAATGATGCTGTGCGTACTTTACTGTACTCTATTTCATGATAATTTTAAATGGACGTGAAGTGTCTATGTACCATGATAAACGCTCTATAAAATAAAATGTATCATTGTTACTATTAATATTGAATGTCAAAATTCTAATCAGCAGTAAATAACTTTAGCTGTCAAAAAGACTATTTTCATGTTAAGTACAAATATGTGTATCATTAAAGGAAAGGAATAACAGAATACCTCTAACTTGATCATGTTTTTAGATTTATTTTAAGCATTCCAGATTTCATATTTATGTACCACTGACAAGCAATCATGGCCATCTGAGGATAATCAATGTTGTAAATAAAGTACTTCAGTACTGGTAATTTGATTCCTCCAGTGCATACATGTTTGTTCACTATAAAGCAGCGCCATTAATCAAAAAGTATCAAATTATACTTTAAAGGGAAATTTCGGTTTATTTCAACCTGTCTCCTATCGTCCTAAATTTATTTCAAGTGACTAATGACATAAAAATAATAGTTAGCATGTTAGCCATTAGCCTAGATACAGCCGGGGCGCATAGTAGCGTCAGACCTGTTAAAACGTAAGTGAACGGGCATCCTTCAAGTGCAAAGTTAGTCCACTAAACAAGCTTTTTTCCACAAAGACCGCCTCATATCGTTAGGATAAATGTCAGAGAACATATAGAAAACGACATGTAAACGTGTTGTCTTACCTTACTGGTGTGCTGCCATGTTTGTTTATCATCTAGCTCTGCTTTCCAAAGAATAATAATAACTAAGAATTGAAAAAGGCCTCGGTGACAAAGGATCAATCTGCAGCCTTGCGAAAACAGTTTTCCAAACACTCTAAGACCCTTCCTCAGATAAGCATCATACCTAACTTTCCATGTGCATGCAAGTGTGTGGGTGTGATTTCCTGTTGTTTCCAAAACTCGCTCCTATTTTTCCCTCTTTGGCGTTCTGCCATCCTGTTGTTCGGCCCACAACATCCTTTCTCCAATCAACATTTTTTTTTACCACGGTGTTTGACGTGTCACCCTGTTCCAGGACCTCTCCCCGAGGTGAAACCACTTAAGGTTGCTCAATTCCTGATAAACACAATGTAATGGCTAAGTCCTATACTGTAGCCACTACTGGCTGCTAATGCTAACTGGGCTACGTTAATTACTTTGACGTGCACTCAAAGAAAGCAATGCGAGTCCTCCTTTAGAACTCAAAATAATCTGGCAATTTATTTTCCACAAAACTTACATTAAGTCCGTACAGCAGGCAATAACGTCACATCCAACAACATAAAAATAATAACACGGATAACTTCACAAAAGTACAATGAGCACCATCAAAAACTATTTGCTTCCCCCCAAATTAGCATGGCAAACCCTATACATTTGTTTTGAACCCGGTTAAATGGCCTAAGGTGACCCCAGGTCAGCGGCATCCGCTGCAACATCAAATACAGCCCTCTAGTGGTACGGAGGAACCATTTCAATGAGTAAATAATAAATGATAAATTAAATATGGCTCATACACACGACTTGCCTCATACTTGACCTTAAGGGTCAAGCCTCTCTGGGCCTTTTTGCGACCACAAAAGTTGAACTTTTCCACGGGAACCACAAGTCCAGAGGGTGGACATGTCACTTACTTTGTCACACTGACGATCAGAGTAACATTTTAGAACATCACACACAATCCACACAGGTGAGAAGCCATTTACTTGCACAACATGTGAGAAAGCTTTGAGATGTAAAAGTAGCCTGACGACCCACATGAGAATCCACACAGGTGAGAAGTCATAACTCTCCAAGACCTGCAGGAAAAGAAACTTTGATGTGTCTCAAGTAAAAAGGCATATAAGATCTCACACAGTCAAGTGGCCTTGTGTTTTAAAAGAAGAGAAAGAAGAAAGAAGAAGAAAAGAGCTTAAAGAGACGGGTGGTCAAACTGAGCGTTTCAGACTTTGGGTGAATACCAGTACATTCAGGTTGACAGTATGAGGAAAATAATATATAATTATTTAATTAAAGAGTGAAAACAGGTTCTAGTAGAAACCCCAAATACAAGTATGAACCTATGAATAAGCATTATATGGGACCTTTAAACACCAAAATAAAAGACATTCGTGTAGTTATTGCTGCCTTTCTATGAGCCACCAATGATAC